CACTCATTGATTCAGCTTGTGAGCTGTTCTTGGTGTGTTTATGGATTCATCTGAAAGGCTCACCCAATCAAATGTAGTTTCTAAGTCTGCAACTGTTTTCTTATTAATGGGTTAGGAGGAAAGAAGGAAGTCAAGAAGGAAACTGGGTTGGGGCTATCTTTTAAGAAGGATGAGAACTTTGGAGAATGGTACTCTGAGGTATGCGTTTTTTTCCCCTGCAGAATTGCCAATTGAGATATTGTAGATAGTATTTGAATTTTTATTTTCTGTGCAGGTTGTTGTCAATTCTGAAATGATTGAATACTATGACATTTCGGGTTGTTATATTCTGAGGCCATGGGCAATCTCTATCTGGGAGATCCTGCAAGTAAGTGATTTGATGTTTTCTGCCATCATCTTTTGTTGTGCTTGTTCATTTTCCATTGGATTTTGATGTGTGGAGTAAGAAAGGTTCTGACTTTGGGTAAGAAGAAGGTTGTTGGTGCAATTTTTTGTTTCTTCTTTTCATTTTCCCCTCCTGTTTCTCTTTTGTGGTTGACTTACCAATTTTGTTAATATGCAGACATTTTTCGACGCAGAAATTAAGAAAATGGAAATCAAGAACTGCTACTTCCCTCTTTTTGTATCTCCAGGTGCTTTACAAAAGGAGAAGGATCACATTGAGGGCTTTGCTCCAGAGGTGAGAATTGGGATCTTACAGAATTAACCATTTTATTGCTGAGCCTTTGTGTTATTTGCTTCTTTCTCTAGACTTTCTCGTTTTAGATTTCATCTTACATGCAAAAAGGGAATTAGTCTTGTCTTTCTATTTCCTTCAAGTATACCACTGATAATCAATAGGAAGCAATGAAAAAATTTATTTTATCTGTGATGCTGGCCCCTAATGTTTATCTTGTATGTCTTCCATGTAATAATATTTTTAAAAAAGGTTTTTGGTTTATTGAAGGAAAGATTGGCTGACAAATATTGAGTCTTGGTTTTACTAGGTTGCTTGGGTAACCAAATCGGGAAAGTCAGATTTGGAAGTGCCTGTTGCAATACGCCCAACTAGTGAGACAGTGATGTATCCCTACTATTCTAAGTGGATAAGGGGGCACCGTGACTTGCCTTTGAAACTTAATCAATGGTGCAATGTTGTTCGATGGGAATTTAGCAACCCTACACCATTTATCAGGTTGATTTTTTAAAAGTTGTCAGATTTGACGATTCCACTTAGATCCTACCCCCTGCCTTCCCCTCTTCTTTCACCATCTAGATGGTATACTCTTTTATCAAACACTTGGTCATTTGTTAACCCTTTTTGTGTTAATATATTATTTTTCATGCTGTTACGTGATCAAACATTACTTTATTTCAAGTTTTGTGATTGTTGTTCAATATTGGAAAACATGGTTGATTCCAACATGAAAGTTATTTTCAAATGGTAGGTTATGGTTTACTAACTTACATCATGCTTGTAGGAGTCGTGAGTTCCTCTGGCAGGAAGGACATACAGCCTTCGCTACGAAAGAAGAGGCAGACACAGAGGTAAAGTGCAAAATTCTATCAACTACTCATATTACAGTCATTCAGTTGAAATTGAATAGTAATGCTTCTCATGCTGATGATATCTGTTTAATGTTTCTTTGTACCTCAGGTTCTTCAAATATTGGAACTTTACAGACGCATATATGAAGAATTTTTGGCTATCCCTGTCATAAGAGGGAAAAAAACTGAGATGGAGAAGTTCGCTGGTGGACTTTACACAACAAGTGTTGAGGTAGTAATAAATGGCATGCCTGTATTGATTGTCTGGATTTTTTGTTGCCATCATGTTAGATTGATTAACCATCTGCATTAATCAATATGTTTTAATCTAAACCCAATACTCTTCAATATATGTGTATATGACAGGCATTTATCCCAAATACTGGTCGTGGTATTCAAGGTGCAACCTCCCATTGTTTGGGCCAAAATTTTGCAAAAATGTTTGAGATAAACTTTGAAAATGACAAGGGAGAAAGGTGTATGGTCTGGCAGAACTCTTGGGCATATAGTACTCGAACGGTAAACTTTTATGCCTATTATCTCTTTTATTTGAATTGTTTTTCATTCATTATTGCTGATCATTTTCCTTATCATCTCAATCATTTTCTTTTTGCAGATTGGAGTTATGGTGATGGTTCATGGTGATGACAAAGGCTTGGTGCTACCTCCCAAAGTAGCAGCATTGCAAGTTGTTGTGGTTCCTGTACCGTACAAAGATGCTGATACCAAAGGTATTTTTGATGCCTGCATTGAAACTGTGACTGCACTGTCAGGAGCAGGTATTCGTGCTAAGGCTGATCTTCGAGATAACTACTCTCCTGGTTGGAAGTATTCTGACTGGGAAATGAAAGGTGTTCCCATAAGGATTGAAATAGGGCCAAGAGATTTGGCAAACAACCAGGTAAGAACTCCATTCCCTCTACTCCCCTTGCCTTGCCACCTATTCCAATGGTGCCCTTTTCTATCCTTCATGTTTTTATATTTTCCTGTGGGGAAAACTTGGAAAGTACTTTATTCTTGATTCTATTTACAGGTACGTGTTGTTCGCCGTGACAGCGGAGAAAAAAGTGATATTTCCAGGGTATTTTTAGTTGAACAAGTGAAAGGCATCCTGGATAAGATTCACGAAAATCTCTTTGAAGTTGCAAAACAGAAACGAGATGCTTGCATTCAAATCGCAAGAACTTGGGATGAATTTGTAAAGGCTCTTGGGGAAAAGAAAATGATCTTGGCTCCTTGGAGTGATGAGGGGGTACGATACAAATTTCAGAATCCTTTGTTGTCATAAAGATAATCTCTGTTTTTGTGTATGGTCATTGTTCTCTTAATGCTTTCATGTTGAAATTCTTCTTCGCTTCATTTGAATTATGTTGGCCTGAAGTGTTTAGATGCCAAACAAGCTGAATCCTTTTTCTTTTTTTCCCAATAATAATTTTCCAAGCTTCTGCCTCTGGTGCTTCTGTTTGTGTGTGGTGTTGGGATATGAAGAAGTCCAATGTTCTGTTCTAGATTTTTGCTTTCTCTTCCTACGTTGCTAAAAATATACTAGCATATTTTATTTTATTCTTTATTGTTTCATTTTGTTCTTTTCAATTTCCATAAGGGAAGTCATGTGGTTTTGTGCTCATTTCTAATTATGATAGTGTTATATCAGAAATATAATACATTTTCCTTCTAATACTGTTGATATGTTTTCTCTCTAGAATGTTGAGAAGGAAGTGAAAGAGCGAACAAAGGGTGAGCTGGGAGCTGCTAAATCTCTGTGTACCCCATTTGACCAGCCTGAACTCCCAGAAGGTACTATCTTTATGTTACATTGGAGTATTGGACATATTTGGACTATTGTTCTTGGAGAGAATGCATTACCAAAAACAAATAATTAACACAAAATTGGAATCATCACAATCAATTTCACTAAATAAGAACTTTCTTTCTTCTTGACCTTCTCATATTGCCAATACTAGTAACAATCTATTTCGTGGAAAATGATTGCCACATTGGAATGAACCAAACTGATTATAGCCACAGCACGAATTGTACTTAAAAAATTTTGAAGAATGCGGACTTCACAGAGGAAGGAAATATTGTAGCCATGGGACTTTATGCATTGCATGAAAAATGGACTGCAGTTTGTTTGTTTCAGAAACGAATGCTTTGTTAAAATTATATGCAGGTACTAAATGCTTTGTTTCTGGTAAGCCTGCAAAAAAGTGGACCTATTGGGGCAGGAGTTACTAGATCAACATATCGTCATGTGATGCATTGTTCCTCTGGTTCCAAATACCAATGGCGTCCATGTGCTTGGCGCATTTAAATCATAGATCTCTCTATAAACTCAACTTTACCATTTTAATTTTAAGTGTATGGCCTTCACTTAAATTGTTCAGCAGAATGTTACATTTCTACATGTTTGCTGCCTTGTCCTTGCAATATGAGACTATGTTTGATCATGTTGTGAATTCTTTTGTGTCACCATTTGGCCACGACTTGCTAGGGACTGGCTTTACTCCTATAAATTGAAA